GTGTGTGTGTGTGTGTGTGTGTGTGTGTGTGTGTTAATCCTAAATTACAGCAAACTGTCATTGCCTTCGCGTCACACCTGAACAGAGCCTCACGCAGCGTCTCTGTAGCTACTGTTTGTGAGGGAAGCCTCGACAACCTTAGGAAGCCAGGCCGACTCCCGTTTCAGTTCGCCTGGACGCTCTCTCCTATTCGCAGTTCGACGGCCGAGCTTGAGAAAGGAAGGAGTGCTGTCAACCTGCGACAGGAGACATTGAGGCAGAGACGGACTACTGCTTCAGTTCCAGAGCCCAGACATGCTGAGGCCATCCCGTCCGCCCCTTACTTTTCTTATCGCCCGCTGACGAGGAGGACGACGAGGAGTTGGAGGACGAAGTCTTCGAGATCTCCACCTGTAAAAACATGAAATTTATCCTTAGTATTTTATTTATTGATACATCTACTCTTTCTGTCGATGCGCAATACTTCAGACTACTACTACAATACCGAACGCACCTAAATTTTATTGATGTCTTGAATGTCTTAAATTGTAGGCAGCCTGTGTCACTGTGTAAAATAATGACAACGATGAGAAATACCCCAGCTACTGTGTACCACGCAGTATTAACGAATGGGTGGAATAGCCACTGTTAACATGAATAAAATAAAATAAAATAAAATAAAATAAATACATTTGAATAGGAATTCATATTTATTTTTTATTTTTGTTTTTTCCAACTAAGCTTGCGTTTTCAAAAGCCCCAAACGCTGCCCGTTATGACGTATTAGGCCTGATCAAAATAAGTTAGAATATATATATTCAGAGTACAACAGCAATATAGTAAACAGAAGAGCAGTTAGAAGAATAGACTTTGCTATGTTGGTAAAAATAAATAAATAAATAAATAAATAACCACTTTCGCGCAAATGCAGGCACAAAGTGGGGAACAGAGAGAAACTTTCGTTTCGAGGTTTCGTTCATCCCTTACCCAGGCCTTAGGGACTTTGTTGTCTGTTTTTCTTTAACAACGACGACAATAATAATAATAATAATAATAATAATAATAATAATAATAATAATAATAATAAAAAAAAATAATAATAATAATAATAGACCTCCTTAACAAGCCAAATGAGATAATCATTTTTAATGAATGAACGGCGTCTATGTAATTGGGATACTGTACATGTCAGGGGAAAGAATCCAATGCGAATCATAAATTGACTCTATCTGTAGCAATGAGCGCTGACGACTCCTCAGTCCGGCTTAATGTTTTCCTTCTTCCATCAAACTCCATAAAAACGCGACACTACGCTTTGAGCGAAGACAGCCTGCTCTAATTCTGCAGCGGTAAACCATCTGCAGCTTTAGTGCACACATAATCCACCAACCTCGATCCATCCTACACAAGAGGGGAAAAGAAACAAAGTAACTAGTTCTGAACTCGAGCGATTACCTGAAGCCGTGGCGTTCAGACCTTTTTGAACGGCTTTAAAACGCCACGCAGAGAATATAAAGTACAAGTCAAAGAGGACAGGCCACCTGCAACCCCCCCGAGCTGAAATAGAGGAAGTGATTTTATTCTTCAGGCAAAGTGACAAATTTTAATATGCAACTATGACTATGAATTTTTTATATTAGATAAGTAAAAAAAAGAGAATTCGTATTTCCAACCAGCAAAACTTACGCTAACAAAACAACTCTGAGTTTAGGGAGACTCTGGTTAGACAAAGAAGCACTTATTGGCAAATATTGCGCTTTGTTTACGAAATATTTTGTTTATGC